ATATAAAAAAGTTTTCAAATATTTTTCTTTATATGCGTTCAGTACGAGTATTAGTATTAATATATACAGCTTTGAATTTTGTCATTTTATATCTTTTTACAATTGTTTTTCTTACTATATCGAACGTGCTAAAGCATGGATGAAGATGATTGTTTAAAGACGAAATTGCGATTAATGAATTAGCAGATTTGAAACTTGATGTTATAAGATGCCTATGTTAGAAATTGAATTATTGCAACTGTTAAAAGACTGTTTTAACCGATTCGTCTTGATCGACTATACGACCTATCTCAAATTTATTAATTTCTATTTTCCAACTGCAAACAGATACTAGTATAATTTCGCGACGAAACAGAAACGAGTGCATACATTAAAAATGAAACCCGATAAAACGTTCAAACTCGATTGCTCTCCTCGTTGCTCTATTTTCATTCACTTACAGTCTCCGTTTAATTATGCATCGACAGATTCCATCGTAACGCTAATCGTGTTCAAACTCATCACGTAACACTCGAAAGGACGGTGAAATATTAATCACGGTTCATTAAACCGAAGACTAAGTTAACCGTGTCTCATAATTCCTCGTTGTATTTAAATAACAGTCTTTCGAAACTTGCTCTCAATGTTGCACCGTTTTACAACCTCGAACGAGGAACAGTAGTAGACGAATTACTTCGAAAAATTAAATTTATTCAATTATTGTTTCACCCTCAATTATGCATCATCCAATTTCACGAAGTGACGCGTGTGTTCCACGTGATCCTCGGTATACAAAACTTTCCAAAAACTCGTAAAAGCACGGGCTAACTTTCTTCCACTTTTGTCCCATAATTAAGAATTTTAATTCGAAATACATACTTCGTCATTTGGCCGCTCGCTGCGACCCCTAATCCAATAAGGAGAACCAAAGCACGGATTATCCACGAATCAACGAACCTACGAAATCTTGTCCAACGTAATTGGAAAGTATCCAGTGGCGATGACACCCCTAAACACAGATCTTCCTACGTTTGAAAAGATCCCCAGAAATGAGCGCACCGTTGGGTTTCTGGAGGACACTGATTTTATTTGTACGGTGAAGAAGTAACCTTTAGCCCTTTACTCTCAATCCGTAAGACGCTGGGGGCCTAATTACTTTATCGAGACAAATTTCAAAGTCTGGCAAAATGATTCTTCAAAAAAAATATATGTCAATATCTTAGGGGATGAATTTGTACGGTATGAATAATATGTAATCACTTATTTGAAATAATGAGATAATTAGAAGTCTTTTCTAAAATCGTAATTTTTAAAAAGTTATATGATTGTCGCGGCAAATAAGCAATATCTTGTATATACTTTAGTGGATCATTAAAATTCTTAACAAAGGACATTATCGTATGAATATCAAGTCCGAATCCATCTCACAATCTTCTACTCCAAAATCTCACGATTTCTGAATATTTACTCGAAGAACACGTAAAATAAAATTTTTATAAGATTTTCTTCAATCGCCCATAACTCGAAAACTAAGCTATATACAACGTATAACATTTTTTTACTTGAGCATAAATTCGACTATCGACATACATTTCCAAACCACCCTCGTATCACAAAACGATTCGTTTTCCTTGAAAAGCTAAGTGCTTATTTCGCCCGAGATTTCGATTTATTCGGTTGTCAACGTGTCGGGTAAATAACCGAGGGTATAGATTTATCAACATCCGAATACGTTTGCACTTAAGTTACTTAACGTTTCCAGTCAACCCCTGTTCAAACGGATCGCAAAATAAATGCAGCCACTTTATCTTAGCATAGGAGTCGGTTACAAACGATCCTCGGGATCGGTATTACAAGTATATACATTTGAACGTGCGATTAAATTATTCCAACTCGGTAGACCTTCTCCCTTCCCCTCCCCTTCCCTCCCACCGATCCGACTGGAAAAGCTTATTTATTCGGTAAATCCGGGAACGAAGGCCGAGAATAAACGTCGCTGACAAAAACAGCGCGCGTACGCCTCGTGAAATTGAGTTACCACCACCTCGTTATTCTCGTGAGACTCGAAATAAAATGGTGGGGACATCCGCAAGGATTGAGTTACCGTCCACTTAATTGACCGCCCGCAGAAACGAGAAGAGGACACTGATTGACAGCGAGATGCAGCTGTCATCGAGACCGACCTCGAAGGAGGGTGGCCGAGTACGGTTTAATTGCTCTTTACCAGTGGAATCCCGAAGCTTGACCGACCGGATGGGGAAGAAATTTGGAGGAGAGTGCAGCTGTCATGTCGCGTAATAGTAATACATTTCGATATATCGAACGAAAGAGAGGGAGAGACATATAGAATGATGATGGTTTTTCAAATACATCTCGGAAGAAATCGATTCACATTTTTTTTTTTCGAAAGTATCGGTGTAATATCTTCGTTCTATTTTTCTACATTCCTCGTATTTAATATTAGACATAATAATATGTGTAGATTCGATTCTTTCTCATTTTTTTTTTTTTTCGATCGTCGTTATACAAGGCATAATTTAATATCGTGACGTATACCGATATATTAATTCCACGGACAATGGATCAAGATCCAACCGATCTTAAAATTTAATTTTGAAAAATCAAAGATGCAACGTGATACCGTGGTCCTCCGATACCGAAAACCAATGCAATAACTCGGCCGGTTCACGAGCGAAATACAGCTGGTATAACGTCACCGTCCCTCCACCGTGTCGAATTTCTCGAATTACATAAACACAAATAATCCTGTGAGTCATTCTAATTCTGGTTCCATCGGGATTGCACCGTTTCCATTCCTCCATCATCCCTCTTACCGTCTCTCGGTCGCATCCGCTCCTTCTTTTGCCCCTTTTTCGCGCATGTCCTAAACGTCGCCTCTTTCTTGCCCGACCGTCTGCCGTATAAATAACCGTGGCACGTGTGTCGTCTCGGACGCACACGATGGCCCACTTTCCTCCCCTACTCGAAATTAGAGAACTTCGACCGCGATGTTTATTCATTTTTCGCGTGACTATTAATAATGGATCTTGCGATGCTTCTTCAAGCAATATCGATCGAATCGCGAGTAAAATGATACTTGTTCGATCTTTTAAATTTTTATTCATCTACATCTACATTTCAGAAGAGGAATTGATAATCGATGCATTTGAACTTATTTTGAAAATAAGTTTATGTTTATAGAGGTAGAAGAAAAGTAAGCATAAAAATGACGATATTTAGGTACAAGATATTAGGTACAAAAAGCGCAGAAAATTATAAGACCCAGGTGTAACATACATTTCCCCCTAATTGTAACGTGGCAAAGGATATAGAGTTTAAGTGGCTCGGGTGTGCAACAAGGGAGGCAATTTCAAGAGGGCAGTAACGAGTTTTATAACACGGAACCATACAACCGCAAATAAATAATACAAATAGTTGAAAAAAAATCGTAGTAATCACGTGGAACAAATATAAATAAGATAGTTTTTTTAAAAGAATGAGCCAAAAAATGATATCTCCATTCTTTAATATATTGATTCGTTTTCATCTAAAATATTCTGCGTATTTTTTATTCATTTTTATAGTAATTATCTCATTTTTCCTTTTAATAAGCAATCTACCTATCTTTTGCCTATCTATTTATCTATTTGAGGATAACACGTCGAAATAAAATAATATCCTTTGAGTACTTTTTTATCGAACAAATGTTTTGAAAGATAGAAGGAAAAAATAATAACGATTCAAAATCTAAATCATTCCGCATATTTTTACTATTTTTAAAGCGACTTTATTCTCATTAAAACGAAAATAAATAAAACATCTTCGAATCGCTTGCCATCGAACAAAAATTTCATCGTGAAATAAAACTATTCGATATCTCGACACGCCACGTCACGCGTAAAAAATGCTCCATGGAGTCCAGTATAGTTCTCCACGTTGAATACAACCGCGTTTCCAGAGCGACACGAGGTTCCCTCATATCGTCACGTAATAATCGTGTCAGACAGATCCGATCTGACGGATCGCATCCGCGAAACCGGCCGATTTCGCTGGTACCGTGAACGAGCTGTCGCCCATCACCGACTTCCATCGTCCCAGATCTCTCGTCCATGGTTCATTTTTACGGGACAACGACGCCCAACGGCATTTCGTCGACGTGTTTCTACACGATCGCACAGGTAATGTGAGAATTATTACACTTCTGCCCGCGGTTTCTAACCAAAACAAAGTTTTTGGAGTTGGACCAACGCGAAAAATTTTTGTAACGATGAAAGGTGAAAGAAAATATAATGATGTTTGATTAATTACTGAATCATCCATGTGTTTGAAGATAGAGAATGTAAAATGATATAAGGAGAAGTAAAATTTTCTATAGATGAACTATAGTTTGCAGTAGATTATTCTATCCAATGGTCAGACGAGATTATCTTACTATCAGACGTATTTTATATGTGAAATTGTTTTTTTTTTTTTTTTTTTGAATAAAGTTTTCAAATTATTATTCTAAATTTGTATGGAAGATAAATCCTAGAATTAAATAAATATCTTTGAATACGCTTATATATAAAATAATAATTTATTAAATAAAAAGTTAACTTTGCTATAACTCTTTCCTCAAATTTAACTTCACATATGAATATTCTCAAATAATTTAATACCTACAGTTATAAATCTACTGTATTAACTATACGTGTAATGTTCAATATAAATTATTTGTAAGAAAATTCCCTTACATAATGGATAATAATAATTCATAGGGCAAGGAACAAGAACAACACAACAATCAAGTGAATTTTTGAAACGAGATCTCGCTATTATTTATATAGGATATCCTGTTTCTGAATAATTACGAATTGTAACAGGACTAAAATCACTATACAAAACAATACAGACGTTGAAACGATGTTTTCTCTAAAAATAAAGATCTCAAAGCTTATTTGCCGGAAGCTATACGTCCCCGGATCTTCCTATCAGATTCATCTATGATATAAAGCACTCAGCATGAACGGATACCCATTCAAATGACCAATGAATGTTGGATAACGATGGTGAAACTACGTGTATCCGTTGTTTTAATATTGCTCGTGTCTGTCAACTTGGTGGAACCGCTAGTACAGGAAGGTTTATCTAAATTTTTAGGATCTATAACTGGCATTAAAAAGTACCTTTCTTCGCAATAATAATCAATTTTTATATAATAAATCGATTCATCAATTTTGTAAATTTAACCCGTATGAATTGTAGTGTGAGGATTCCTGAATTATTGAATCAATTGTGCAATCAATCGCAAGGATCAAATGCAACTCGTCGAGATGCGTGTTACGGATGCTTCTTCAGGGCTACCAGTCAAACCCTTGGATACTCTTTATTAATGGCTATTTCGAATTGTGCCGATATTTATCTCAATAATACCGATTATGGCCACTGTCAACAATACTTGAGAGTAAGTTATACGAAATTTTTATCTATCAAATTTTTTATTGATTATTTTATGTTTGCAACAGAACGCTACGAGCATAATGAATTCAAGAACGAGTGTTACGACGATATATTGCTCGTTCCTCGAATGCGTTCGTCAAGTAAATAAGGATACTTTGGTGAGTAGAGATCGTACAATTTTTTTTGCGAAATACTTTAAAATATTTTTTGCATGCTTCGGACAGATAGAAGACAAAACGATCTTGCACTTGTTATTTTATTCAAATAATTCGTATAGAAATGTAAAGAGAAAGCAATTGTAAATAGGATGCACGAGTTAAACCAAGAACAACATCAAACCTAAGGATGACTTCCAGAAAAGTATCAATATTTTATTTTAAGTTGTACAAGAAATTTGTGAATGCTGTTTGCATCATACGTGAACGGAATATAGAATCGAATACCGTAAGGCCAGGAGCTGAACCTATCGATCCTAGACAATTGAAAATTAAATCACAAAATTTTACTGTTTCTAAACAACCGAATTGTACATAGATACACTTATACGATGAATTTGTACATATCACTTGATTCAAAATACCTACAAAATCTAGTAAGTATACGTATATCTTACTTTTGTATATATGTATTATTATTGAAATTTTGTTATGTGTACGATACTAACTTAAACGTGGAATGCAATATTAAACATTCAGTTGGATGTTTTCTACTCTCTCATTCTATGATTAATCACTATTCTTTTACATCGTTCACACATCCATGTACAATCATCTTTCTCTTTAACAATCTAGCATCTTTAACAATCTATCACATTTTACCTACTTACATTGCCTATTACATTGCCTATTGTCTTTATAATACACTCGATTGTCTTTATAATACACTGAACTGCTAAACAGCACTGAAAATTCAATTCTCAACGAATACAAAAATGTAACTGTAAATGTAAATAAAAAAATGTAATTTTTCGTCTTGGCTTCTAGAATCAATCCTGTAAATATAGTGTTGCAAATAACGAAGAATCTAACGATAAATAATGTAAACGATAAAAGATGCTTTTTAGAAATTAGAAAATTGCATTTGTATTGAATTCTTCGATATAAAAAGCGAGTCTCGAGCAAAAGCGATCGTTCATCGAGAAATATTTCGCACAGCTCAGGGAATGCGTCGGCGAAGCCGTAAGAATGTCCCCCAATTTCAACTTGACGGACGTCAAATTAGCCCAATTATACGTGAACACGACCGCGTGTGTGCTGGCGAAAACACGTTGCTCTCAAATGAATCCGATAACCGGAGAATTTCAAGAAGACGATCTGGCCAATAAGCTGAACATACCCACGGTCAACGCGGTGCTGGTCAACACGAATTACGACATCAACATCGTACAGCTACCATTCCATTCCAGTTCCATCGACGTTTGCGCAAAATATAGAAACTACGAGCAGGCCAGCTGGCCAACGATCATGTGTTGATTGAAATTTTCTCGTTTAGCATGGCCTAGAAACGGTGGCCAACCATCATCAATTTACAATTATACATACGGCATTAACCTATTTATAATATCGTATTGTTCTAGAGATAGATCATTGGATCGAAACTTTGAAACTCTTTTTACTATTTTTATATTATAGTTCGAAATTATAGAAGTACTCGATCGAATAATTTATGATAATACTGTTACGATATGAATTTTATTTGATTAATAATGATTCAACCGAGATCATGCGTTCAGATTTTAATTTCATTATTCTATTACGATAGTTTGTAGGGAAAACACGATTATCAATTCTCCATATTATGAACATCAGATTACATGTTACAAACACGATGAAAAAAAATAATAAAAATCAAATTATATATCATCGACTAATAACCTCAGCAATCAATGCCTAAATAACGAATTAATAACAAACAATATAATAACGTCCATTGTACGACAAAAAACGATATTTTAAAATCGAAAGTACAGCGTACGACGCGCTAAAACGAATGTGACGATCCTTCAGAAACCGTGACTGACTTAATCTCGTGAGAGTCGTAATAGCCGCGCGAAAGAATGTACGAATAGCGGTGTAAATGGATAAACGTATCGTAGCCGGTTCATCGACGCCAAGTACCGAATGCGGACATTAAAAGAACGTTTACGATATTACTTATCTCGTAGAGTGATCGTAACGAAGCGGCCAATAAACAAATTTACGACAAATCGTACGGTAGAAAAAGGTGAAACGACTACGTCGTTCCATCGTACAAGCCGAGTTATATCAGTATAACACGAAATAAGAAATATCTTTTCAAAGACATAAATTCCGATTCTGAGATGAGAGCCAAAGATGAATTTCAGATACATTTTGATACATTCGAATCAAGATTGCTATTATTATCGTTAATTTTGGATTCTTTGATCCAAGAGGAGGGCAATAATTAGATGTTATAGAAGTTCGTTTATATGAAATTGTCAGGGGACAAGAAACTTCGTACAACCAGGTCGTTTTAATAGGAATTTACCCAGTCCTTCTCACCAAGTATGATATTTCGCTCAGTAAACAGAAGTTCATGTTAATATGAGAGGATTCCACGAAACATTTTCACTTAAATACATAATAACGTATCTACGGCAAACACGATAACTGCGTAATGCTTACCAAATTAATTCTTCATTTATTCAGTAACAAAGAATAAAATATATGTTATATTATAGGAACGTTTACATAATTGTAGGGACGAATCACAGTTATTCGTGTAATAAGATTTCACTTAAACTTCAAATAATCAACCACTATTAAAATTTCGTCCAAACGAGCTTTATTAAATATATTTACTGGAAAATGACGGCTAGAACAGATATGCATCATATCATATGCCAACGCAAACTAAAATTCGTCTTAGAATTTGTACCGACTTTATGTTTCTCTCTTTCCAATCATTAAATAGAAAAATACCATTTCCCCTTTGACAAACATTTTTGTATCGCAAATTTTTTCGAAAGCCAAACTACGATGACAATAATCATTCAAACTCGTGTTTCATGAAAACTTATAAACCCGTATTAATTCACTTCTAAATAAATACCATCTTCTCGCAGATGAATTAAAAGAAAAAGTGTATTTCTAAGGTTAATCTCAGAAATCTACAAAACACTCATCGTTTCTCCTTTCGTTTCTGGACACACGAAAAAAAAAAACTAATCCTACTTTTTACCTTTCGTATCTCTCAGACATCCCGAATCGAATGAAATTGGTACTCTCCAAACACCTCTAATCATCAACAAGTTAAGCCAATAGCGATTCCGCGCGCGACAGCCACCATATACCCCCCGGCAAATATTCGACGGTAATCGGATATTAAAAGAATCCGAGGTATCGAAGAAAAGAGGAGGATAAAAAGAAGAAAGCCCATGGAACGTTTCCCTATCGGTTCTGTTTGCCAAGGTGAAACTCCTCCGGTTAATTCTTTCGAGACTGAGGACACAGGGGAGTGCAGTTGGGAAAGAATCGAGGGATCGATTCCGCGACATCGGTGTGCACTCATGTACTTATGAGAGAGGACGAAAGCGAAACGACGCCGAAAGAACGGGTAATGGGAGGGGAAGGAGGCGGCTGCGGGGGCGGAAGAGAATGGAGAACGGAGAAAAGAAGCAACGAAGATGAAGGGAAGATCGGTCCATTGCACAGAAGCGACGCTCCACTTAGCATCTTCCTCGAAATAATTTGAAATATGCAAATACCATTGGTGCACACGCGCTCGCGTGTCGGGACACGCGGCATCGGGGGATGTGTGCGTGCACGACCCGCCACGGCCATGTTTGCACGCTCTGTGTGTATCACGAAGGAGGAGAAGGAGAGGCCAAGATCCGAGGGAGAAGACAACGTATATTCCGGTGGCTTACGGTTCAGTTCTCTTGGAGCCAATCTAACTTAACATGCAGATGCAGTACGTGGAATCGTAGAGGCGACAGAGAGAGAAAGAGCTGGGGAAAAGAGGATAGAGATGGAAAGAAAATCGGAGGGGAGGGAGAGAAAGAGAGAGAGAGAGAGTCCGTCCCTGTGAGTCATTCTGTGGCGATAGTACCTTTTCCGTATGATCATTCACCGTTACCGCCTTTAATGTCCTCGCGATTCGAAACATCCTTTTCAAGAACGGGACGTGATTTTAATGAATAAACCGATCGACCGCTATCTCGGACACGGATCGATAAAAATTAGCCGAATGGCATGGATCGGTGAATCGTGGGGAAAAAAGAAGAAACGCGGGTCTTATTAAGAGAAGATATAAGAAAACGAGGACCTGGCATTTCGTTCTTGGAAAGGAAGGAGGAGGTAGTATCATCCGATATTTCGCGAAATTTCTCAACAGCGGCAATCGATCCTGACACGAGGCGAACTCACGCAAGTGCATCGTTGATTAAATTTACAAGACCGTGAGGTTGTACAGCCATAAGTAATATAATCTGATCTTGTAAAGAGGTCAGAGGGAGGGGAGGGAGTTGACTACCCTGGCTGGATTCAGAAACACGGTTGATACCGTAGTAGATCTTGATAAAGCGTGTATTCCTCTTCAAATTAAAAAAAATCCTTTCGCCGATCTATCTTGCGAAAAAAAATCTTGAAATTTTGAAACGAAAATTTCGATTTTAACAACGTTAGAGGCATCAAATTTATATTCTCCTTACGAACGAAGAAATAAAATCGCGTCGCGGGATGCCGAATCAAGATCCTTATGAATTCGTGCACGGATCATCTTGTGGCAATCTTTTCGGAATATTCCGACTAAATCTTTTTTACGTTAAAAGTTTGCTATACAAGGAAACGTGACCCTCGTTTACGAGCGCCATACCATTTATGACGGATTATAACTTTATGTCGAATCGTGAACTCTTTCGCGACAAGTTTAACAAAGTGTCCATTTGATAAACAGGGAGTTACTTTCTGTAATTGACTGGTAGCAATTAAACGCTGACGACGTCCATCGTCACGTAGAATATCAATCTGGAAACGGTACACTAATATAGCGAACAAATAGCAGTTCCATTACACGAACAAAGCTCTAACGTCATCGGTTAAAACCACGCAGCATACATTTCTCATCAGTCACACAAGATTAAGTTTGCGTGGAAGTTGCTGCACCTACGTAACAGAAAGGCCGAGCATCGTTTCTTCTGCTGTTTCTGGAGATTATCTCAAATAGCATAACGGATGACTATTCCATAAAAAGATCAAAATAAATAATAATACGAGATGGAGGAACGCAAAAATTTGAAGAATTTTTTCTATGCAAGAAAATATATTCATATTTACAAATACCTTTGAAACATTTATACTTTCTCCTTTAAAATATCTTATCCAGCGTATTCTTTTTATTTTTTAAGATTCTTCGAGATTGAAACATTTTATGTATCAAGTAAATATTAGAAAACTTTTAGAAATTATAAAAATATTTAAGAATAATTTCCCCTTTAAAACCTTAGAAACAACTTATATAACGATTCTCTACAATAAAATAAATTTTCATCTTTCCTATACACGTAAATATCAAATTTCTCGGATTGTTCGTTCAATATGACAAAACGCACAGATTTCTTTCACGAAAAGAATTCCAATCAATCAATTTTCTCTCCATCCATTTTAACACCAATTCCTTCTACTATAAATTCCTGCACCAATCTACCTAATTTTCTCGCGATTCACGCTATATAAAATTCCATAAAATTAGCATATCCGAAAAGGAAAAGCACGGGTCCAAGAAATCGTGAAAAGATCGTCACCCTCCCCTCTCATTTACTTTGAACTTCCGCTCGTCGGGATTTCCGGGACCGCTCGAAACGGAATGCACGCGCGGCGAGCAAACTGGATCGGTTTACAGAGCGAGGACGAGAGCATGGACGAGAGGAGCGCCGCGCGTCGTTTTCACGTGAATCATGCGGGCCGCGATCGGAGCGTGTTGCGCAAGCAGCCTCCTCATCGCGAAATGCGGAGGCGTTGCATTAAAAGCGTGCCGCGACGCGGCTTGGCGCGGAAAACAAAAACAAGGAGAGGAGTCACCGCGTGGACACGTCATCGAGGCGCGGCACACGCGAAACCAGGACAAACCGCGTGCCTCTTCGAGCCGTGATCCCATCTGGCCCGGTTTCTTACACCATCCTGGACATTCTTGGGTTCTTAACGAGAACACCAGTCGTCGCGAAACTGTTGATTCACGCGAGGTGTGTCCGAAGAGACCGATCTCTCCCGATTCTCCATTTCGCTTTCGTGTAAAACGCGTATCTCTGCCGCTCCGATTTTGAATTGGAATAATATGATGAATGAAATTTGGCAACAAATTTTACAAGACTGCGTATCGTTGAATGAAGAGTGACACGACGGACTAATGTTATGCAGTTTCTATGTGGTTTCAAGCTTCCATATTTCCTTTTTCTCAAAAGTCAAAAAACTATCTCAAATTTTGAAGCAGTGGATCGATTAAAAAAAAAAAG